ACAAAGTAAAACTATATACAACAAAAACCATTCTCAAAGAGGAATTGCATTTACAATATGCAGTCCATTTGCATTTAGCAAATCAGAGAAAATATGCCATTGTCTATCTTACCTTAGTAACTCCAAAGTTTCATACCTAATTTACATTCTATCACAACTAAGGAAAACTATAATGGTTAACTATTTAGTCTTTAACTCCATCAAAGACCCCATAGAAGGATGCAATATTACCTAACAACAGAGACACCTTGCTGTGTAGACAGTCACCCAAAATTCCTCTGCAATGTTGAGGCATCCATCTTCAGCCTACAGGCCCAGAATATCTGGCAGACTTTTCAGGAAAGCAGGAAATTTGAAGGACTGTCTTGTGTAGCTCAAGTTTTCCTGCCTAGCCCATAGTCAAGACAAATCTCTCTCACCTGCCAGTCCCACAGCCCCTCAGACCCAACCAAGTAAACACAGAGACTTATATTGGTTACAAACTGTATGGCCGTGGCAGGCTTCTTGCTAACTGTTCTTATAGCTTAAATTAATCCATTTCTATAAATCTGTGGAATATTACTTCTACTATGTGAAGTTATGCTACGTTAGTTTATGCTGCCTTTGATAATGTTATAAAAAATGTGTTGCTGTTTCAACTTTCCTGCCTAAGGCACCTAATTGGTCTAATAAAAAGCTGAATGGCCAATAGCTAGGCAGGAGAGGGATAGGCAGGGATGGTGGGCAGACAGAATAAGGAGGAAGAGAAATCTAGGCTCGAGAGAAGGAAGAGAAGAGAATGAGGGAGAAAGAGAGGGACATTTCCAAATCCAGAAGCCAGGCAGCCACCAGACAGACAGACATGGAGACAGCAGGTAAGAAAGAAAGAAAGAAAGAAAGAAAGAAAGAAAGAAAGAAAGAAAGAAAGAAAGAAAGAAAGAAAGAAAGAAAGAGAGGGAGGAAGGAAGGAAGGAAGGAAGGAAGGAAGGAAGAAGCCCTAAGGCAAAATATAACAGGGTAATTTAAGTTATAAGAACTAGTAATTCAAGCATAAGATAAGGCTGAGCATTCATAACTAATAATAAGTCTGTGTCATGGTTTGGGAGCTGGTTTGTGGCCCCAAAGAAAGCTTGGTACAGTAGTCTATTCTAAAATAGCACAAAAAAGTCTAACCAGGGAACACAGCAACAGAAACTATAACATACACTGATTCACATTGTGGTGTTACTGCTGTCTTCCATTGGATTGGGCTTTCCTATGTGAATGTGTCTTTCTTGGAATAGTCTAAATTATTTACACCCTAAATCTACTTTACTTTTCCTGCTTTTTTTACTGTCCTAAATAATATCATTTATTGAAGATTTAGATACAACATATTTTATGCTAAATACTATACAGTTTTTTTTTTTAATTCTTACAAAGATCCAAAATCTTCTAAGTATGTACTTTATATTGTGTTGATGTTTTCTGGCTTTTTTAAAAGCTCTCTCTCTCTCTCTCTCTCTCTCTCTCTCTCTCTCTCTCTCTCTCTCTCTCTTATTGGTGAAATTATTAAGGCCACTCCACGTAGTTAAAAGGAGATTTATTTAATGGCGTAACTTACAAATTAAGGGATAGGTAGGTCGCGGAGTCTGGGGAAGGTGTATCGCAGTCCAGCGGTGTTCTCTGGAGCTCTGCTCGGTCCACCTCCACTATCCAGGGACTGGCGGGTGGCAGAGATTTATCCTGACTGTGGGCCAGGCAGGAAAACATTAGCAACAAATGGCGTCCAACGTGGTGGCAAGAGTTTCCACCTAAAACCTGAGAAAAAAGATTCTAAAACGGAGCTAAAAACAGTTCCTAATTGTCTCTCTCAAATGAGCGGCAGCTGCCGGTTTGAGCTACTGGCAGGTTCGTAGCGTGCGCGCTCGACCTGCCGCCATATGGTGGGAATGAGGCCTCTGCAAGTGGCACATTAAGCTGCATGGTGGATTTAGCCTTTGCAGTTACAAAACAAAAAAAGAGGTTTCTGGGCTACACGCTGCTTGGATAAAAGCATAGACCCACGATAGCTCCCAGAGCTGGCGGTAAACGTAGCCATGTTGGGAAGCTGAGGTGGGCGGAGCCAGCAGCCACAGCTGCTGCAGCTTAAAGCAATAGATTCACAATAAGACAGATTCAGATGTAATAGTTTACAATGTGTGTAAAATATACGTAGGCTTGAAAGAGACAAAAAAAGGTGATATATACAGTATAGAAACAAATACATAGTTTTAAAAAATAAAGTCTTTAAAGAGACAGTAAAATTAATATAAAAAATAAGCCACGTGAAGATGAATATTACACAGAGAATCTGCATTGTGTTGTCTTTGGGACTTTTAACTGCAGAAAAACATTTGATTGTAAAAGCTGTTGAGTTATGCCAAAATGTATATTTTAAAGGTACCTTGACTTCAAAATTTGGATGTAAGGATATGTTGCTTTGGAAAGGAGGCTCTGCTTTTGTTTCCACAGAAAGCCAGAGCCTATGGATTTGTTCCAGATTAAGATACATCAGGTTTGACCAGCCAAGACCCCCTGTAAGGTCTCCGATGACACCATGGCCCAGATGATCCAACATCCAGAATCATTTCAAGGGAACTGGCTCAGACGATACAGCCTCATGGACTATTCCATAATCCTAAAATTTTCTTTGTGTTCCCATAAGATACAGCGCCCCCCTCCAGCAGGAAGTAGTAAGAGAAGCTACGCCCAAATTCCCAAATTATATGTAATTTTACTTTGTTAAGGTTAAAACCTTCCTTTTTGAAAAAAAAAAAAAGGAAGTGCTGTGGGATGTTCTGTATGGCAAATGTGTTGCTAATTAGTCAATAAATAAAACACTGATTGGCCATTGGCTAGGCAGGAAGTGTAGGCGGGACAAGGAGGAGAATAAAGCTGGGAAGTGGAAGGCTGAGTCAGGGAGACACTGCCAGCCGCCATGATGAGAAACAGCATGTAAAGATGCCGGTAAGCCACGAGCCATGTGGCAAGGTGTAGATTAATGGAAATGGATTAATTTAAGCTGTAAGAACAGTTAGCAAGAAGCCTGCCACGGCCTTACAGTTTGAAACCAATATAAGTCTCTGTGTTTACTTGGTCGGGTTTGAGCGGTTGTGGGACTGGCGGGTGAGAGAGATTTGTCCTGACTGTGGGCCAGGCAGGAAAACATTAGCAACACTCTCTCTCTTTAATTTACTTAGTGTGTGTACATGTGCTCATGCACACTGTGGAGACGGAAAGAGGGAGTCAAATTCTCTAGAGTTAGATTTACAGGGTGTGGTAAGTCATCTGACCCATGTGTTAAGAAAGACAGAAAATACATGGAGTTAGATGGGTGGGAAGGTAGGGAAGATCTGGGAGGAATGAGGGAGGGAAACCGTGCATAATCAGAGCATAATACATTAAAAAAAAATTCAATAAAAAAAATCCCTGTTCTCTGAAGAAACAGCAAGTGCTCTTAACTGGTGAACTGTATCTCCAAACCTTATTTTCTGATTTGTGAAATGGTTGCTCTGTAGCTGAGGTTGGCCTGGTACTGTAGTATAGTAATCTCTTCCAAATGTGTCATTTCTTCCAGAAAAAGAGGACAGGCTGTTCGAACTCTGGAAGTAAACAAACTTGATATGTCTGGGAAAGCTGAAACTCACAAGATTCATGAAGGCTCTTCCCCAAGGCTTTATATAGAATCACAAAGAACTAGGGGCAGAGGGTGGGGGATGAGACACTGACCAGACCACCTGCTAGGAGGAGATTCTCAGGCCTGCCCAGCAGCCTACAAAATGTGAAGAAAGCTCTAGCAACAGTCATCATTCATATTGGATCCAGCTTTTCAGAGTTGCAGGCAACTTTGAGTTATCACTGCTTCTGGAAGCAACCTCTTACCCAAGCTGATGTAAGTAACCCCAATCAACTCCATGGTTCAACAAGCAGAACTTGATATAATGGTTACTTTGATCTGTTATGGACCTCTATATAGAACAAGTAGACATGTGCATATTGTATCCCCACTAAAATATTAGACAATGGGAACCCACTATATAGCCCAGGGTGGGTGTTAAATTCTCAGCAGTCCTCTTGCTTCGGCCTGTGGTGATATCTTATTTGTGCTCTAACAAATAAATCTTGCCTAGAGATCTGAGGTTAAAGCCAGCCACTATATTAAACATAGAGGTCAGGCAGTGGTAGCATATGCCTTTAATCCTAGCACTCAGGAGGCAGAGATTCATCCGAATCTCTGTGAGTTCAAGGCCACACTGGGGAACAAAGCCAGACGTGGTGGCACACACCTTTAATCCTAGTACTAGTTAGCCATAGAGATCTGGAATTCTGAACAGACAGACAGGAAGTGATAGAGCTGGGCAGAAAGAAGAAAGTGATTTAGAGCTTGGCAGAGAGAGGAAGTAAGATGGCAGGGCACAGAAAGGTATATAGGTGTTAGTATGCAGGAAGTAGATCTCTCTTGGGCTGAGGATTTCCTAGCGGTAAGAACTTGTGGCTTGGCTTGTTCTATTCCTCTGATCTCTCAGTTTTCACCCCAATGTGTGGCCCTGAGTTTTCATTAAGAAGACCTTTTAAGGTTCGTGTTATATCAGCCTTCCAGTACTGCTAGCATTACAGACATGTGCCTTTGTGTCTGGCTTTAACTATGTAACTTTGTGTCCCCCCACTTTACAAATGAGAATACTAAGACCTCTTCAAGATCACACAGTTGGTAAGATTCCATGCACTCTTGCTTCCAGAACCACCAGCATCTTATCCCCAATTTTGGTTGTAATAATATTTAATTAATTAACAACTGGTGTGTTTTTAAAAGATGGAGAACAAGGGGGAAAGAATTAGTATATACTACATAGCTGTGTAGTTGAGACAGAAAGTCACTGCTATTACATCTAGCACTTGTTTTTTGTTTTAGTTTGGTTGTTTGTTTGGTTTTTTTTTTTTTTTTTTGGTTTTTTGTTTTGTTTTGTTTTGCGCGGTAGCAAATGTTTGGGGGGGGGGGATCAGTCCTTCTTGGCCATAGCCTTCCTCATGGCAGCCAGCACGTTGCTCAGCTCCTCGTGCTTCCTCTTGGTGCGGATGTGCGTGCCCACCCTCTTCATGATGAACTTGAGCATGCGCTTGTCCTTGGACACCTTGAGCAGCTCCATGGCGCGCCGCTCATAGGGAGAGAAGTCGCACACCTCCCGGATCATGTCCCACACAAACATGATGTGCTTGGTGAGGTGCCCGCGGCGCCGGCTTTGTCTCAGCTTGCTGACGTTCTTCGTTGTCACCTTGTGGCCCTTGTTGAGGCCCACGGCCATGGGGTAGCGCAGGGCCATGGCTGCAGAGGAGACAGTGGCCGAAACCCAGCACCTCGGCCGGCGATGCCCGTCCGCCTTCCGACGCACCCCGCTGTCCCGGGAACCCCGATGGCAGCAGATGCCGCCCTGATGATCTCCACTTACCTGCACATCTAGCACTTGTAAAACCATAAAATCTTGGAAAATGTTTCCCCATTTACAAGTAATAGATACACACGCTGCTTTTCCATCTGCACAGAGACTGTATTTTAATCTGCTGCTGTTTTTGCCAGCAAATGCGGCTCCACAGATGATGGCCTGCTTCTCTGGCAGTGGCCTGGCTGCTCAGGCCTTGGCCTGGTGGGAGTTCTGTTCCTGCAGGAGCCGGCTATGTTGCTGCCGCCAAATACAGCTTTTAATTAAATCTCTATCATTCTATTTATCAATAAGACTCGGGAGCCAAGGGCTGAAGTACAAACCTGCCAGCTCAGAGAGGTTGAGAGGAACTAGCTGACCTTCTCTCCTTGCAGGTATCTCCAAAAGGAAGAGAGTCGCTGAGCCACAACAAAAACCCCATGCTACACTAAGTCCCTCCCTACTACTTCCTGTGCACCTCTCCATCAACTTACAGACACCCTATGACTCTCTGATTACTTTCTGTCAATTAGTTGCTAACTCGGCCTCCAGACCCAAGGTTGATTTTATTTAATTAATGCAAATGCAAACTTGGGGTTCACAGTGTAATTGAATATCCCACAACATTTCCTCCTTTTTGTCTAAATAAAAACAAAAGGTTTGACTCTAACACAGTAAAACTATACACAATATGAACAATTATCGGGTATTTTCTAAATAAAAAGGAAGTGTTTTAACTCTAATATACTAAAACTATATGCAATATATGTAATTATCAGGTAAGAATTACATTTACAATATCCATTCCATTTTTTTTTTTTGCAAACCCATAGAAAATACTGTATTATCTATCCTATCTTGGTAAGTCCAAAGTTTTATACCTAAACCACTTTCTATCTTTCTATCATAACTTGTACAACCAACCTAGAAATATATTTTTAGGCCTAAAAACATTTTCTTCAATAAATAGCTTAAGACTTTATGTCTCTCAACCTTATGCAATTTACATCTCTTTTGTAAGTTTCTTTTCTGAATTTTGTAATAAGGAAAACTGTAACTATAACTATCTAGACTTTCACCCTACCAAAGACTTGAGGATATAATATTACCTTGTGGTGATATATTGTGTACCCTAACAAAATTTGCCTGAAGATCAGAGAACAGAACAAGCCACTATATTAAATATAGAGGCCAGGCAGTGATGGCACACAGCTTTAATTCCAGCACTCAGAAGGCATTGATCTGGATCTATGTGAGTTCAAAGCCACCCTGTACTACATGAGATTGACTCAGGCTAGGAAAGAAAACAGAGGCAGTGGTGGCACACACCTTTAACCCCAGTACTGGAAAGCACACATGCCTTTAATCCCAGCAAGTGATGGCTGGGCAGAGAAAGGTATATAAGGCATGAGGAGACAGGAAATAAAGACTTTTCAGCAGAAATGTCCCTTTCAGCTAGAGGCTTTTTCAGGCTGGGGAGTTGGTGAGGTAAGAGGTGGTGGCTGTGGCTTGTTCCTTTGTCTCTCTCATCTTTCAGCATTTACACCAATATCTGGCTCTGGGTTTTATTATAAGACCATTTAGGATTTGTTTAACATTACCCAAGTAAATAAGAAGTGTAGAGCAAACAACTTCCAAAACTATAGAAGTAACAGAAACCGCTGGCTACCTGGAAAGTCAGGCAAGGTTCCTCTGCAACGTTGGGATATCTATTTTAGGCTACACTGTGGCCTAGCATATCTGAAAGCCTTTTCAGTGAAGCAGCAAATTTTGAAAGCCTGTCCTACCTTGTCTTGACAAGCTTTGACAGTTGCCTTCTTTTGTGTCCTGCTTGTTCAATTTGGAAAATACACTGTCAGCAGTCAAGGCAAGGGAATTTTCTAACCCAGTGGCTAACTTTGCAACAATAAAAGCTAACTCCATGTGGAGGTTCATTGATGCCCATCATCTTTTTTGAGTAAATTGTTGGTGCCGGGAACAGACGTGTCTCAATGTCATGAAAAGCCTTAGGTTATCAAAATATCTTTTTTTTTTTTTTTTTTTTTTTTTTGGTTTTTCGAGACAGGGTTTCTCTGTGTAGCTTTGCGCCTTTCCTGGAACTCACTTGGTAGCCCAGGTTGGCCTCGAACTCACAGAGATCCGCCTGGCTCTGCCTCCCGAGTGCTGGGATTAAAGGCGTGGGCCACCACCGCCCAGCTATCAAAATATATTAAATGCCACATTCTTTAGGTCTCAGAAATGTTTGAAGACCACCTATCTATCTAAAATATTTCTGTTGAACCTTGAAAATATGTCTAACATGACTACAAGTTTGCTTATTATAGATGACTACTAACCTCTATTTCTTAATTATGCATTACATTTTCAAATGAGCTGCATAGGTACAATACCTTAAACAAGAGTAGAAATAAATGCACAGTATAACAAAAATAACCTTAAATTTGTATCAAGATACAAAAATATCTTTAAAAAGAGTAGAAACATCTATAGTGTATGTTCTAACAAAAATAACCTTAAATTTGCATTAACATACAAAAGTATCATAGACACATATATACAGTATGTTTAAAAAATAACCTTAGATTGCTATCAATACACAAAAATCCATACCAATGTAAAATATTTATTAATAGTTGCTTTTTGGTTTAAAGTAGATTCAATAATCTAAGCTTTTAGCCTATCCTTTCCATATCTCCCTTTATCTTTTTAGAAAGAGATCCTTGAATCCAACCTCCCTTGCTTAGTTTCTTTCTTTACCATGACCAGTAACAATTTGCAACCAACCCCCCTAAACAATGACAAACATTCATAACCCACCAAACAACCAAAAACTACCCACCCCACCTCTTGGGAATATGGACATCTTGTTCTTAAAATTACTTCCTGCTCTCTGGGGGTTGTTGGAATCTTTAGGGAGCCCCGAGGAAATAGAGATAATGCTCAAGTTTTGGTAAAACTACCTCTATCATTTGTTGTTCAGTCTCTGTGTGATGGGAAAGTGCAGAGCTTATGTGAAGTCCAGGCTAGCTTAGTCTGTGAGAATGGACCATCTCATCTAGCAGATTTGAAATTGTCTTGAGCAGTTTGTAATCCAACTCTGATCATTGGATGGTGTTTCTCACCTTAATGGGTTTACCACAATCCAGGTGGAATCATTGTTGTGGGACCACATCATCCTTTTGGCGACTTCAAAGGTCACTGTTAGGAATGGTCATGGTTTACTTCAGAAAATTTAAACATTTTAAATGTCATAGGTAGTATATCTCAGAGAGGCTAAAGGACCACAGTCTATTAAATACACCTGGAATACACAAACTTAAAACCTAGTTATCTGCTTCAGACTCAAGCCTGAAATCATGCATAGGAAGCTATATGAAGCCTGTTTCTAAAATTAGATAGTACTCTATATGAACATTAATATCATGACAGAAAGTTTAAATATATATCTATATATATATATATATATATATATATATATATATATTCTTATAAATTTAGAGATAATATTTATACCTTAAGAAAACATGAGGTTTCCCCCTTTACCTTTGTAAGCCACCATTTGCCTATGTACCACATCTGTCTATCCAGAAGCAGTCCTTTGTCCCTCTGGAACAAATATCCCTTCCCCATCTCCCAGGTTCCCTTTCCCTTCTCTCTCTTCCTCTATCTTCTGTCTTTGTCCTTTATCCTTGGCCCCTGTCCCTCTGGGGCAAATAAATCTCCTTTGTGCTGAGAACTAGGTCTGAGAAGTTGGTCTTGGTGGTCCTAAGCCAATACTTTTCCTTTCATTGACACCTCAGCTGAGGAATTGCCTCTATCAAGTTTACCTATAGGCAAGTCATTTTCTTGATTTGTGATTTATGTGCGAGGATCCTGCCACTGTGGTGTCATCCTGGACAGGTGGTTCTGGCTTGCATAAATATGCAAACTGAGCAAGCCAGGGGACCAAATTTATAAGCATCCTTCCTCCATGATCTCTTCTTCAGTTCCTGCCTCTTTGCCTGCTTGAGTTCCTGCTCCAACAACTTCCCTCAGTGAGAAACAGTGATGTGTAACTTTAAGCCAAACAGATTATTTCCTCCCCAAGTGGCTTTTGGTCAGTGTTTATCACAGCAACTTAAGCAAACTAGACAACTAGTTTCATTTCTATGGCTGTGATAAAATACCCTGAATAAAAGCAACTTAGGAGAGAAAGAGTTTATTTTAGCTCACAATTTCAAGTTGTAGTCAAGGGCACAAGAACTTCTGACACCTGGTCACATCACATCCACAGTAGAGAACAGGGAGAGATGAATGCATGCATGGCTATTATTCAGTTCACTTTCTCCTCTCTTATACAGCAAAGAGCCAGACCCAGAGAATAGGAGCACTCACAATGGATGGTCTTTCTACACCAATTATCATAAACAAAGAAATGTCCCATAGACATGTCCACAGGGCAATCTGATCTAGATAAAACCCCACACACATTGTATTCAAAAGTTTTCCTGTGTTTCGCCCTGCCTGTGGTCTGGACAAATCTCTCCCACTCATGCCCTGAAGCTGCTTAGTACCAAGTTAACACACAGAGGCTTATATTATTTACAAACTGTATGGCCTATGGCTCAAGCTTCTCACTAGCTAGCTCTTATAACTTAACCCATTTCTATTTATCTATAAGTTGCCACATGGCTTTGTGGCTTACTGGTACTTTCACATCTTGCTTCTCCTGGTGGCGGCTCATAGCATCTCTCCCACCTCCCCTTTCCTCATTCTCTCTCTCCAGTTGGGCACCAGATGTCTGATGAATTGCTAAATGGTCTTATTAATAAAAATCCCAGAGCCAGATATTGGGGTTAAAACTGAGAGATCAGAAAAACAGAAAGAAGCCAGCCACATTCTTACCACTTGGAGATCCTTAGCCA